TTATGCCCTATGAAAGTCTGCTGGAGGGGCAGCTGTGAGTCAGTTCCAATTCTATGATACACAACACCATGCCCGTTAGTCTCCTGTACAGCTGCTCGTTGACTCAAACCTCTGAGAGGTGCAGCCGTAGGGTCCACATCACAGCTCATTCTACAGTCAGCTAGCAGAGCTCCCCAGACTTCTAAGGTAAATACCTCCTTAACGTAGTTACTGTCTGCCAGGAGAAGATGAACACTCCTGGCCTGTGTGGTTAATTTCCATTATCACAGCTTTAATCACAAAATAACGCCGTTTTAAAATGTCTCAGACAATAGCCAAACCAGCCAAGTTACCCAACTGCTGTCCCCTTTTCCTTGCCCTTCACATAGGACTTCAAATCCATATCAACTTAAGTCAATGAAGAGGGAAGGAGTTTTCAAAATGTTTGAAAACTTTATAACCTTCTAAGAGCAATAAAGATGTGGGCGCTATCCCACAAAAATAGCTTGATTGTAAACAGAATTCTACAGCACAGCACTCAGAAGTGGCCCAAGTACATCCACAGCACGTCCACTCCCAGACGTATAACGGACAATGCACATCCTTTAGAAGCACAAAGTACTTTATGCAGAGGATCGACTGTCCTAGTAAATCGAACCACAACACGAAGTAAGAAACCCTCAGCAAGGATACTGTCCTGTGTATAAGCAGGTGGTCAGCATGGTGGTCCAATGCCATCAGGACAACCACGAGCACCTTCCAATAAACACAGCCAGGCTAGGTCCAGTGTCCAGTCACATCGTGCAATCTTCAGGACACCGGGGCTACTATGAAAAAACCCACGTGGTGTAGGGTATCGCCCTCTCTGAAATCTCTTGGTTTTATGGATTTGTTAGCTAAGAAGAGTTGTTTACAACAGGTTCATGGACATTAAATAAATCTAGCCAGTTTCAAAGAGGCCAGGCAAAGACTGCATTTCCATGCCAGCGTTGTACTGTGGTGATTGTCAGGTGCAGCTAAGTCGAGTACCTCTCACAGCGGCCCTATAAACAGATCTGAACCCTGTCCTAACCTGTGCCAACCTCACAATCTGACTCACTCCACTGCTGCAGGCACTGTGTCAGTACAGCCGGTTGAGGGCCTTCCTCTCCTCTCTCAGCAACATGTCAAGAACAGATAGCCAAACTCCTAACAGATCTGAACCTTGCCCTGCGCCATCCTCACAATGTCCGACGTGGGACCCCACTGCTACAATCGCGTGTCAGTCCACCTTGTTAAGGGTTCTCTCTCTGATCCTCCACCAACATGGTTTTCCCAAGGATAAATGCCTCTTGCTACACCTAGAAGACCATCACCAGTCAAGCAGAACAAATGTCCCACCAAAAATGGACACTAGCTAGCGAGCTATTTTGTCGCATAGAAAACCCAAAGAGAATTCTCCCCCTAGCCCAGTTATGTCCTGAGAGCCAAACTGGACTAGTTATTCTGCTGTTAAATCATCTTTTAATGCATCAGTCATCTCTGCATTTAATCTCATTTGTGAACAAGGTATCCTGTACTTATAAAAAAATCATGGAAATTAAAGACACCGGAAGTGCCTTCACCTGAGCACTTACTCAGAAAACCTCACACTTCAGTTACAAACTTTTGACTGTCAGTGTTTCTTCCCATTTTGCCTTACTCTATTAACCTCCTCATACTATCAGATCATCTAGACAGATGCTTTAAACAATCCAAATCAAGTAAAACATGGTGAGATTACCTGTGTGCGTCGCTAAGGAGGCTTGTAAACAATCAGCAGCCAGCTGCAAATCCCTGCAGAAAGTGCTGTTTCTCTGTGGCTGATCAGAACCCATGACATGGCTGTAAACCAGCTTACTCAGAATGAGACCACAAGTTTAGTTAGGCAGGGTGAAAATATAAACATTGATCTTAAGTGAATCCCCAAAGAAATTCTTGAGAAAAAGCAAAGAATGAAGAACATTTCAAAAGTAAGATTCTTGGCGTGACTGAAACGTCTGGCTGAGGTTTAGGCCACATCTGTGAGGCAGCGGCCCTCATGCCTGAGCGGCGCAGCCCATAGTGACAGACACGTACCTCAGCTCCCGGGAGGTGCCTCCATCCCATCAAATCTGCGGCAGGTGAGTTCCCCTACCGTCACATGGACACCTGCTTAGTTACCATCACCAGGCTCCCCGCCACACCAAACCCAGTGGACAGCGGCGTGCTGCATGGACGCTACATGCCTCCCACAGACCACGTGCTGAGGTCTGGGGGACACAAGCTGTGCCCCAAGTGACTAGGGTTTATGCAGTTACGGCACACACACGCACGGCCCTGCTGCCTTGGCTGTGGGACACGAACCTTAATGCCCTGCACCACCAGCATTCCCGGGATGACAAAGCCCAGCCCCAACCTTCATAGATTCCAGCTCGCAGTGGCCCCTGTAGGAGAGGCAAGCTGTTGCAGAGTTGCCAAGACACACACACTTCACAGAGCTGGGAGAAGCTTGGTGGGTTCCTACCGCCAATCTTTTGGTTAATCACCAAATGTTCTGATCACTGTACCACCAGGACTCTGGGGATTTAATAAACGCCCAGCTAGCACCATAAATATAGCTGTCATCAACTCCAAAAGGTTCTGCCCACTCACTCTAGTTTTCTAAAAACCAAACTTCCCAGAAGAACTCCATGGGGCTTTCCTGTTGAAGTCTGACTTTGACAGAAAATATTAAATGTCAGATGAGTTTTAATTTTGAAACTGTACGATGCAGTTATGAAATACCTAGGAAGATGGCCCCGTGCTTCCTTCCTCCTCAAAAGAGAAATAATTGCCAATGTCTACCAGGTTTGGAAATGCTTCATGTAGATTAAAGTTTTCCAGGGTTGAACTGCATAAAAATAGAGCTCACTGCATTCCTACCAGGGCAGAATATGCTTCATCAGCATTTGCTAAAGTCTTAACTATAATTTTTGCATTCTGTGCAATCAGTGTTTCTATACAGCCCCCAAAGCGGGCTTTGAGTTCCCAAATTACCTGGTGGTGATCATGGTCCAATCCAGGAGACCCAGCTAGTATTTGAAATCCTGGTGACCTAGCTTTCAGCATCATAGCAACACGCAAGCCGCCACAAGAGAACACAGTGACACAGGTAGAGTGCATGGTGACGTCTGATGATGTCAGCCCAGGAGCCCACGGCTGTCCTGTCATTGTCCGACTCCTCCTTCTGGCCCCAGGTGCTGTCCCTCCCCCAGTGCTGAAGCAGACAGTAAGCCTGTCACAGGAGAACACCCCTCCTCCCTCCCAGAGCAAGGTGTGGGCACTCCCGCAGAGGACCCTGACCTGGGACTGTGTCTGATCTGTCCCCTGCAGAATGCCATCCCATCTGCGGGGTGGCTGCAGCCCTGACCTGTGGTTCCCTGGTGTCCGTGGTAGGGGGGACACAGTAGGACTGCTCCCCCACCAGTCACAGGAACTTGCGTCCTCTCTGGAAACCTGCACAGCCACTTCCTGGCCAGACATCACTTCTCACACATCGCTCTCCTGTTTTTATCACCTGTCCTGTGATTCCCGGCCACAGCAGCCAACACATCTCTTCTGCCCTCACCATTGCTCAGGGCAGAAACTTCAGAGGTTCCCATTGAGGGTGGGGGTCCAGACCACCCCAGGAAAGCAAACAGCACAGTAAAGTGAGTCACACCAATGTTGGGGTTTCCTAGTGTGTGACAAAGTTAGGTTTACACTATCCTGTAGTCTCTGAAAGGGCAGCTGGTTAGCTTAGTGGTGAGCTGCTCTGCCAACCCAGAGGCAAGAGTTCAAACACACCAACTGCTCCGTGTGATTAACTGCCTCTGAAACCCCTATAAACGATTCTCACTTGACACAACATGAAGTGTGCAAACCTGTGAGAAAGTGTGAAATAGTTCTAAAATGACCAAAACACAGAGACCCAAAGCCAGCACAGGCTACTGGGAAACGCTGTTCACAGACTTGCTCGATAAAGCGCTAACTCAAGCTTCTAAAAAGCCCACGATAGCGACATCTTAGGAAAGCAGGGTGAACAGGCTGCCTGTGCTTCTGCCTCAGCCGTGGCCACCTAAGGCAGGTGTGGACACTCCCCACGGTTTTCTGGGGACAAGTCACCTTCAAAGCTCCTTTTGGGACACAAGCTGTAACACTACTGATGGAACAAGGACCATGCGGGGAGGGGGGCCACCAGCCATGTGACCAGAGGTGCTGCCCCATGGAGGGGCCCTTGGACCTGCTCTACCGTCATGACTCTGCGGCCTTGAAACACCCCCCACCCCAAGGCAGCTCTGCTCTGTCCTGTGGGGTCACCATGAGTCCAGAGCTACTGAACAGGGGGTTATGGGTTGGCTTGAAGAGACTGTTGGAGTCACTGTGGTATGGACCTTAAAGAACTCAGCTGTTAATTAAAAGGAAAGGGGTTTGGGCCCCACCAGCCACTCTCTGGGAGAGATGCTGCCACCTGCTTCCACACAGACTGCAGCCGGGAGACGCTGGGGGGCAGTTCTGTTCTGACCAGTCCTATGGGTCACTGAGTCAGAAATGACTCGATGGCATCGGGTTTATGTTTAAAACACACTCTACACAGTGCCACCCCAATACGAAAGCCCTTTCTTAACCAACAGAAAGCAAAGCCTACGTGCACGTGTGTTCGAGCTGCGTTATCCACACCCAGCACCAGCCAGCTGGTAATGTCATTCAGGGTTTAAGATGCTCATGGTGTCCTAAACTCCAGCTCACACCAGCCTGTGGACAACAGCATGAGACCCTGCCTGGGCCAGTGGTGGCCAGGTTACGTCCTAAGCTCCTGGCCCCTACACAGCAGGTCCCACACCAAGCCACCTAGGTCCCCTGCCTCAGCCAGCCTTCCAGACCAGCCCCTGCCTCCGTTCACGTGCCCCAATGGCAGACTGTGCTGGAATGTCACCAGGGCAGACACTGGCATCTGGGGGCCAGGCCCTGCCCACGTTCAAAAGCAGAGAAGCTTCTCTTACCTGCGGGTCTGAGAAGAGCAGGCCTGTGACCTCGTGAGTGACCACAGCAGCGTTCCCTGGGATGTCCCTCGCCAGCACAGGCACCTCCAAATCCATGGCCTGAAACAAGAGTGGCAACAAGTGTTGGTTCCAGAGAAGGCTGGCAGGGGGAGGGGGCACCCCTCATTGACGCTGGACCCCGGGGAGCTGATGGGAGGCAGAGCCACCTGCAGGTCCAGCATGGTGCAGGCTGATCTGAGGGAGGCTGCAACCTGGGTTCTCCCAGGGCAAGCATGGAACCTGGGAACTGATGGGAGGCAGAGCTGCCTGCACGCCCAGAGTGGTGCGGGCAAACCCTGGAAATGCACAGCCTGGGCTCCCTAATGGAGAGGAGGTGAGGACACCAACAGAGCGGCTCCCAGGGACTTGTGGGTCCCAGTGCATCTAAAGGCCGTGTCTGTATGTGCCTGTGGTCAGGAGCTGAGGGCAGGGGCTCTTCTCCCTGGTTTTTAACCAGTGCCCCAGGAATGCCCTTAGACAGTGTAATGGGCCCACCTGACCAGTGCCCTCGGGTAGCAGGCACTAACCCTGAGGTGGCCCAAACCATAGGGAGCTGTACAAAGACCACTCACGTGTAGCAATTCAAGTTCACCTATGACTCCTTGGAAGAAAGACAGTCTGCATCCTACCAGAAACTCAGCAGAGGGTCAGCTATGAGTCACTTCTGACTGATATTTGTCAAATCTAACGATTATTCATTTATTAGTAATAATTTATTAATGAGTAATGAATAAAGTTAGATTGTGACCAAATGTTACCCAGGGCATTTTATGAGAACTTGATCAAGAGGTGGAAGGGGGGAGACAATACACATTTGGTTTTCAGAGAAGTTCTCTGTCCCTGGGCCACCCAATCCCAGCCACTCAGGCTCCCTGATGGTCCACAGAGTCTTTGGTGTCAGCAACCGTAACTTAGGGAACGGCCAGCGATTCAAGTCCACTGAGAGAGCCTTGGAAGAAAGGGCTGGTGATTTGTGTCTGAAAAGTCAGTCACTAAGAATGAGACCAGACCGTGCCTCACACCATGCATGACACATTTAACACGCCCAGGACCCTCAGTGTGGAAACCATGACCATCCGTGTCCTAGAACAAGCAGTGCGGCACCCTCAGGACTGGCTTTCCACAAACCTAACAACAAAGGTGCAAAAGACAAAATGAGAATTCGGGACCTCAGGAAAATGGAAACTGTCCATCTGAAGATCTCACACAAAGACTCGAGACATTTCACCCACAGGGACTTTCAACTGGCCACCAAGCACAGGTGGAGATGTGCAGTGTCACAAGAGGACCAGTTACACGCCAGCTGGGATGCCATGGCTGGAAACAAAGTCCTGAAACAGCAAGCGTCAGCAAGGACGTGGGGACAGGCCCATCATAGGGCTGTGACAATCATCTTAAAACCAGAGTTCAGCCGAAGTAGTAAAACCAGTCTGTCTTGAGGACTGTGCCTTTTTAGGATGAGAGAAAACCCACCTGGGAGATCATGGGCTGGGGGGTGTCCTCCCAGCATGGGCATCCTCGGCCCTGGCCCTCAGCCTGAGCAGGGTCAATATAGGGTGCGTCTTGAGCAATTTATTTTGCAATATAAAAGGGATTATATATGCAAGCAGAGAGAGGGATGGGGTGGGACTGGCCACAGGCCTGCAGGGGCACTGTCTGCTCCGCCTCTTTGATTCTTTGTTTAGACACTTGCAGGTGCATTAAAATAAAGCAGCAGAGTTATTTCTCAGGCAAAGGAGAGGACTTTTCTCTCAGCTTCTGTTGCTTATAGGGCTCTCAGAACACCAGGATTTGCAAACCGTACCTCTGGCTAGTAAATACAGCAGGTCTCTAGCTCCTGGACGTGGATCCACAGGAGAAGTAGTGGCCACAAAACTGAGGCCCTCCAGCAAAATGTCTTCTTCTCTATGTCCGCTTCACCTGGGGGAAGGGCTCAGCTGCTGACTGAAAGGTCGGTCTCACAACGCTCCAGCCACCCTGCAGGATCAACCCTTGGGGCGTGCCCCGTCCTTCATGGTCGAGTTCTCTGGCATGTGCCCTGCCCTTTGGAGTCGCTGGAGTCAGGACCACTTGACAGAAGTGGAAACAGTAAGCTGAGTCCGAGGTGGTCTAGATGTTTGTTTATGTGTTCAGTTCTTCACAGGTAAAGGGTTCTTCCAGAAGCACCTCAGAAAAGAGGCCTGGTCATCTTCTGAAAAACTGGACAACCTAGCAGAAGTCTGAAGACCTGAAGCATTTACTGTAGAAGATCAAACAGTATCTTCTTTAATATGGAGTACATCTCAACATCAAGAAAACAAAAATATTCACTCCTGGGCCAACAGACATCATGATAGAGGGAGAAGACAAGGTGTCAATGATTTCATTTTACTTGGATCCACAATCAGCAGTTACAATAACAACTGCCAAAAATCAAAGATGTGTTGCACTGGAAAAAAAAATCTGCTCTCAAGGACCTCTTCACAGTGAAGAGCACGGATGTAAGCTTAAAGACTAGCGTGCACTTAATCCAAGCAACGGTCTTTTAAATTCCTTGCTGTGCATCTGAAATTTGGAAAATGAGTAAGGATGACAGAAAACTCACCCATGCCTTTGAGCTGTGTTGTTGCAGAAGAGCACCGAGTAGCCCATGGATTGCCAAAACACACACAAATCCCTCTTGGAGAAAGTGCAAACCAGAATCCTTCTCAGAGGAGGGATGATGAAACTCTGTCTTCAATGTATATTAGATATGTTGTTGGAAGAGGCTCATCATATTGGGAAAGGTGGAGGATCAGTAAGAAAGGAAGACCCTTAACAAGACAGATTGACATGGTGACGGTAACAACAGGCTTGAGTGTGTCAGGTGGGGTGGATATGCAGACAGGAACACGGTTCAGATCTGTTCACATGGTTGCTGAGTCGAGACGGCACCTAACAACCCCCTGCACAGCACATTCTGCTCCGACGCACACGAGCTGACATCACGTGAGCACAGCTGGAAGTGATTCCAGCAGAGCTGGAAGCGCCTGCATTGCAGGCAGCCCCTGGCCCAGTTCTCTGCACATACAGAAATCCAACCCTTTCTTCTCACCTAAACTTGGGGGTCAGAGAATATACAAGAGAGGAGCCGGGAATGGGGTGCTTGGAGCCTACTCACACCTTCACCCCACTCCCTGTGCCAATGGTTCAGATGCTCAGCTGCCCTCACAGACCTGCAGGGACAGAACGCGAGCACACGCCACCTCCTGCAGGCCTCCAAGGCTGGGAGTCATTATGGAAGGGGATGCCTCATTATTTTCCTTATGCAGCTGCTAGTGGATTTGAACTGCCAACCTTTTGATTAGCAATTTATACTAGGAAGGGGGCCTGATCAGGTCTTCTCACAAACCTGGTGGACACAGAAAGGGAGGGACATTCCCACCTCCCCAGTCACACTTGGCCTGCACGCTCACCTCCAGGATGGCAGCCGACATGCCCTCAGAAAGGGAGCTGTTCACCAAGGCAAAGCAGTTCTTCACCACCTCGTGTAGGTCCTCACGGGCCATCTCCCCAACCAGCCGGACGCCAGCGCTCCTGCAAAATGTGCACCCATAAAAGGAGCCTAGGGGGCTGTGGGGCGGGGGCCAGCAGACAGTGGGGGAACTGCAAGGTGGGCGCCAGTGGTCCTGCAAATGTGCAGCTATGAGAGGGCCTCAGGAACCATGGGGCAGGGGGAACCCAAGCAAGTGAGTAGGGGGTGAGAGCGGAGCATGTGTCCATCACTGAGGAGGATGTGGGCTTGGTGGCACGGGGGTTAAGCAATAGGCAACTAATCGGGAGGTCGGCAGATCAAATCCACTAGCCGCTCGAAGGGAGGAAGTTGGGGCTGTCAGCCTCCATTGACACGCCAGCTTTGGACACCGTCCAGGGCAGCTCCCCTCCACCCTACAGGTTCCCCAGGTCAGAATGACTCAAAGGCGTGGGTTTAGTTTGCTGGTTTTATTGTCTAGTTGGGAGCCTTGGTGGTGCAGTGGCTGAAGTGAAAAGTCAGCAGCTGGAACCCGCCAGCTGCTCCATGGAGAAAGCAGAGGCCTCCTGCTCTGCAAAGATTGGAGCCTGGGATGCCCAATGGGCAGCCTGCAGCAAGTCGGGGAGGACTCCACAGTGGTGGGCTGGGCCAGGTCCTGGCCGCTGTCCCCAGTATCCCAGGCCCTCTTGGTGACCTAGCTCAAAGACTACTACTGGCAGACTGGGCTGTCCGGCTGTTTGTAAGGTGCCCTGGTTGTGCTGTGGATCGAGCACTGGGACACGCTCTGAATGCTGAGATTTGAAGCGCCAGCTGTTCCCTGGAGGACGACGAAGCCGCCTGGACAGTGATGGACGTGGACTTAACCCTAATCCTAACCCTGAGGGGTGCGGTTCTGCTCAGTCCTGGGGTCACTGTGAGTCAGAAGGAAGTGGGGGCAGCAGTGGTTTGTTTCTGAGGAAGCAGGAATGTCTGAATGTTTCTGTTTTCCTGTTGAAAGGAGTCCTCACAGCAGCCTGCAGGTCCCTTCCAGGGAGTGTGGCTGCACATGGGGTATACTGGCTGAGAACTGAACCTGGGTTTCCCACAGAGGACAGGGAGTCCACCCCAACTCAGCACTGCCCAGGATCTCAGTAACAGGTGGGCAGGGCTGACACAGGGCTCTCCAACAAGGCAGTCACCGCTGGCCCTCCTCAGCCAGGGGGGAGGCTGGAGGGGCCCCTGTTCTACAAGCCCTTTGGATGCTAGGTCCCAGTGTGAACAGGGGCAGCTGTGATCCTGACCTGGGCACACTGGCTGCTCCCTGATAACTAGAGAGCTGTGTGACTTCTATATGAACGTGTCAGCCACCAAATGCCAGCAGAGACAGCCCTTGTCAGTAAAATGGGGACATAATGTACCTGCCTCATAGGACACAGGGCAGAGGAAGAGGATGGGGGGAAAAGCCTAGAGCAGCGACAGAACGGAGGAAAACCCAACCCAGCCCAGCCCCCACCTCAGAGCCCATTCTGGCTCCTGGAGATGCGCTGGACCCGGGCACGCTGCCCCGTGGGGTGTCCGGGGCTGCCGTCTTTCTCCCGTGGTGTGGATATGGGTTCGAAACACCGACCTTTACACTAGCATGTTAATGCTTAGCCCACCGCACCACAGGGAACACTGAATGCAGACATGTATGGTGCCCCGGCCACTCCATGTCCACATTAGCAGTCTCCTGTTCCACTCACCTTTCCACCTTGGCCTTCACTTCCCTGGTGAACCCAGGATCCACCTGAAAAGAGATGAGGGCACCTCAGAAAAGCTCACATGGGGTGACATATCTGAGGATGGCAGGTGACCCCACAGGGCCAGGACACAGCGAGTCACCAGCTCAAGCAGAAGCCACGCTCCTTGAGTCCAGCTGGTCCGAAACCAAGAAGAGCCAGTCTTGGCTGTCACTGCAGTCATGTGGGAAGCAGTTCAGAGCTGACCCTCCGTCCTTTCCAAGGCTGTAAACTACATGGGAGGAGACGACCCATCTTTCTCCCTCAGGAAAGATAAGAAAAACAGGACTCGAGAGACACGCACATCCTGCTGCTTTGTGCTGTTTTCTGTGTTTCAAACATGTGTTTTCATGATCTGAGTGCAAACCCGAATGAAATGAGTGAATTCTTAGCAGCACACAATCTAACCACACTGACTCAAGAGGAAACAGGTAGTCTCAACAGACCTGCAACAAGTGAAGTGATGGAATTAGTGATCAAAACCTCCATGGAGGGTGAGGGGACAGGGGGACCTCCTAGGCCAGATGGCGGCACCGGGGAGTTCTACTAAACACTTAAAGAACTGACATCAATACTGTTTAAATTCTTCCAAAAAGAGAAAGAATAAAAACTCCCTCATCTGTTCTATTAAACAAATACTGACACTCCAACTAAACAAAGATGACACACAAGCACCAGTATTTCTTCCCAACTGTACTGCTGTTGTTGGGACTCTGCCTCCCAGTCACCCTATACACTGCAGCTGGCCTGATCCAGCCTCACAATCCTGGCGGTGCTCAGAGCCCTTGCTGTAGTCACCTTGTTTCTCCACCCTGTTGAAGGTCTGTCTCTTGTCTGTCTCTCTCCCCACCCTCCCTCTCTCTCTCTGACACTATTTCCCAGTCTGATGATCTTTTTCAAGAACTGGCCCCTTCTAATAACATGACTACAGTAAGTGAGATGCAGTCTCCCGATTCTTCCTTCTAAGGAGCCTGAATGCACTCCTTCCAACACAGATTTGCCAACACCATCAAAATACTAGAGAATAGAAAGAATCCTACAGCTCATTAACACGCTGCCACAAACTTTTAAATTGACGACCGTGCTTAGAAACACATTTTTTCTATGTATTACTAAATAATTAACAAATAGATGCATTAGTACACATTGTACAAATGATGTAATTAAAATGTGCAGGATGGTTATAGCCATCATTTGCGGCAACGTGTTAAGAGTCATGACCAAGTAGGATTTAGTCCAAGACCGTGGGGATGGTTGAACATTAGAAAATCAATCAGCACAATATACCAAATCAGTGCAGCAAAGGAAAAAGGATCACTTCTCTGGGTACAGAGATGCCATTCCATAAAGGCCAACGTTCTTCCTACATGAAAACCCTGATGATGATCAGAATGGCTATGGAATCCCTCAGTGTGGTTCAGGGCATCGATGAGAAGCTAAGCACCAGGTCTGACTAAATAGAGTAATCTCTCCTCCTGCAATCTCTCTCACCATTTCTACTCAAAATGTACTAGAGAATCCTAGCCAGAGGTAAAAAAAGAAAAGGATTGGAAAAGGGCAAGTAAAATGATCCCTACTCATCGAAGATACATCACTGTGTACACCAAATTCTAAAGAGTCATAAGGGAACTTCTAGAACTAATGACCATAGTGTACAAAGAGGAACCTTGGTGGCACAGTGGTTAAGCATTCAGCTGCTAACCAAAAGGTCAGCAGTTCGAGGCATCATCTGCTCCGGGGGGACAAAGGGGCAGTCTGCTTCAGTAGAAGTCACACACTTAGAGTGTGAGCAATGCTATGAAGCAGTTCTGTCCCTGTCCCCCAGGGCTGCTGTCACTCAGTGTGGATGGAGCTGGAAGACAAGAACAAGGAAACTTCAGGGCCGAGACTCCCTGTTCATGGCTTTGCAGGCATCCCTACAGGTGCACGGATGAAGCCTCAACTAACCTACAACATCTGGTTGGCCTCCTCAACCCAACAACTGAGACAGACTGTGGCCCTGGCATCCATGCACCACCATAATTTACAGGGAACATAATTCAGCAAAAACTGAGGGGGGATCTTCAATCTAAGCATGACACAAAAGTCCAAAAGCTCTCCTTCAAAGCACAGTGACGAGAGGGGCAGCCCTCTGAGTACGTACACCGTGTGACTCTCACTTCAGCTCCCATGTGCGGAGGGAGCGAGGAGTGGTTTCTGATCATATTTACCCTCGGCTGTAGGCACGGTGAGCTGCAAGCAAGTGAGCTGGGGCACCCACTGAAGAATGCCATGCCCTCCAGAACGTGCATGTGAACCCCTGGATTAGGGCATGCGACGTGTATGCCAAGCTGAAGTGGGGCTCACCCCATGGGGCTGGCAAGGTGAGGTTCACACAAATCCCTGAGACCAGGGTAATGCTTAGAAGGCAAAATACCAGGCTTGGGTCATGATGGAATGTGAAAATCATTCCCAGAAACAGCTGTAAAGATAAAAACCCACCATGCCCCCAAGTCAGTTCTGAGGCAGCAACCCTGCAGGATCGAGGTGCGACACCCCAGCACCTCCTTGGCTGAAGCGGACCCGCCTCGATTTCTTCTCTCACTGCCTGTCTCAGTTAACAGTCAGGTGCTTGGCTCTTGGAAAACTCCTGACACACAATTTCTAGTTCATTGCTGTTGCTGTGAGTCCATAGTTACTGGCATTGGTCACTTATGCAATGCCAAAACCAAGCTAGGTCTCTCACATGTACCCAGGGCGCTAACCTCAGCCAGGTTGTGTGACTAACTCCCCCAGGACCCCTGAGTCCTGACCCCTCACCCCCGTCTGCTGCTGTGAGGGCACCTGCTCCGAGGGTTTGTTCACAGCCCTGAGAGCACCCTGTCCCTGTGCCACAGAAACCCTGTCTGCTCGCTCACTGCTGCCACAGTCCCCGTGAACTC